GTCCCACAGTGTCTCATAGAAAGTGACAATTTACTTGAAAAGATAGCCCGGCTAGTGAGAGCTGAACTACCTAAAAGTAACAACCAGCATTTGAAGACGGCGAATATCAATGAGATGGCAATGCCCTCAGTATTATACACATTACGTCCCCAATTGTTATGTACCTTAGGCTCAGCTCTCAAACGTCGAAATTCACATGAGCCGTACCAAATTGAAACAATGGATAACAAGGGGGGTCTCCTTTAATGTTATTAATTTCGGCTCATATGAAGTTCGACGTTTGACCTGAGCCTAAGAGTGCCTATCTAAGTAAAGTATTCGCGTATTCGTCTAAAAGAGTTGATACGTTGTAAACTTCACATAGTATTTTGTGGTATTTGTTTCTTACAAAACATGTGTTACTTTTAACATTCAAGTACTCGTTCGAATTTTTTTTATATTGTCAAACGTGAATATAGTGTTAACAGTGATGTCATTCAGATCTTGTTCAACTGAATAGTTATGATGTTTGAACGTAAATCTGTATGTCACGTCACGCTTGGTTGTTTTAGAAACAACAATACGAATCAAATTCTAAGCTATTCCCACAATAATTTTTCGTGTGCAGTCACTGTGCATGTCTACCTGACGTGCAGGTGACGCAGAGGTTCCCAGCGCGTCTCTTGAATACGCGATCCTTGCCTTGCATATTGTTATGGTAATTTCAGTTTCAGCTACGGTATATAGCTAAAAAAAATTAGCAATCTGTCAATACAACAATAAATTAAATGAAGCGTACGTGAAGCGGTGGACACGAAATCTAAGCAAAACGTAGCAAAACTATAGATCAACAACTTGGCAAATCAGTCTTCTAAAGATGCCAAACTCGTACAAAGTCTCGATAAAGCAGCCTAAGGACAGCCAGGGAAGTCATTCGCAATCTCCACCACCGATTACGGAGTCTTTTACGGTAGAAGTACTAGAACAACAGAAAGCTTGGAGAGAATATGAAGATTCTAAGTATGACTCACCCATTCTCAACCGCTTGGTGCCTATTCCCATCTTCTATTATTGCAGATGGAAAATCCTAAGTATTTTTCACACGAGATTGCTTTTTGGAGTAGTCCTTGGAGAAGTCTTATTTTTCCTTCTTCTTGTTGGCGGACTTGCTGGGGTTCTAGCAGCAATGGGCATGGGGAATGATGAAGACAATGCTGATGCAACTGGTTCAGTAGCGATCATCCCGGCTGCCTTATCATTTGCATTTGCTTGCCGTAATTCATTATGGATCCTCTTTACAGGTTTGCCGTTCGAAAGGGCTTTGACTTGGCACAAGATCTGCGCGTATCTAAGTGTTCTCGTAGGCGCATGGCATGGTTATGTATATAGAGAATGGGATATAACAGGTTTGCTGCTAACCGGTAGCATGGCTTCTCTTTGCATCTTCTCTTTGTGGCCTATTCGCCGAAAGGTTTTTGAAGCATTTTTACGTCTTCACTGGATCCTTTTCCTACTAGTCATCGTAGCTGCATTCACACACGATGCTGGAGCCATTGTGTTTGGTGCAGGTCTTTGGGCCTTTGACATCATATGTCGTCTATTCATCGCTCTGTACAATTATCATAAGCGAAAAGACGTCCTTGCTGTCAGGCTTCCTTCAAATGTAATCCGCATAACGTTCCTCAAGGAGGACTTTAAATACAAAGCTGGACAATACTGCTTTATCTGTGTGCCCGGTGTGTCTCTGTTCGAATGGCATCCTTTTAGCCTCTCATCATCCCCTCACGAAAACAAAGTTTCCATTCACATCCGTGTGCTTGGGGACTGGACACAAAAACTTTACAACTACATAGCAGAAACAAGGGCAATAACGGTTTACTTAGATGGACCATATGGTGCTCCATGTCTTGATATCGATGGCTCTCGATACAAACACTTTTTGTTTGTAAGCGGAGGTATTGGAATCACACCCATGCAGTCCATCTGTAATGACATCATGTACCAACGAAGGAGGGGTAGGGATGTGAAAAAAGTTTTGTTTGTTTGGTCCGTACGTGACCTTTTTATGGTATCGTCTGTCCTGGAGTACGACAAGGAGTATTTTAACAAGGTTACCGACCACAGGCTTCCATATTCATTCTCTCCAGACTTGCTCGTTAGAGGCGAACCACAAGATGAAGTCATGGAAAATTATTTTCATTTAACCAAAGAAAGAGACTCGGCGCGATTTGTAGAAGCTAATATTCATCCAGAAATCCAGCCTGAGCTGAAATTTGGCCGTCCAAATTTGCCGGAATTATTTGCAAAGATGAAAGGCCATGCTCAAGAATCGAAAACAAGGAGGGTTGCAGTATTGACCTGTGGTCCATCTAGTTTAGTAGATACAGTAGAAAAACTTTGTGTTACAAATTCCTCGGCTGGGGTTACTTTTGAGTTTCATAAAGAAGTGTTTGAGTTCTAAAAGCCGGCTAAATTATTCGGCCCTGAGAAGGAAATTCAAACTGATTCACACCATTTCTGAACAAACTGAGTAGTCCGTGAACCGGAATCTCGAGGTGGGCCGTGAGGGCCAGCTTTGCAAAGTTTCATCTCACAGAATTGTCTTCAAGGATACAGTCAATTCAAAAAATGTTGTCGTCGACCAACTCAAGCCTACGCGACTGGATCGAAAGGAGCTCTGGGTAGCAATCATTGAAGCCGAATTGACTCCATAATTTTATCTGACTAGTTATGCCTGGTTTACAGCACGAACCTTCGTAGGCGAGCGGGAAGTGTTGAAGGAGACGTTCATTAATGCCTTCATATTTTCGTAATTGTGAACTGAATCATAACTACTTTGTTTTTCTTTCACTAAACCCAAAGACATGCATTTGATGGATTGTTTCTCGCCATTATTATCWTATTACTAGCGGGAACAATTAATTCAGAACGAATGTTTAACCGCTTCAGTGATTTTTACCCATATTTCTTTCGGTCCAGTCGCGTAGGCTTGAGCCGGTCGACGACAACGTTTTTTGAATTGACTGTATGTATAGATGATGGTTAGGGACCGGTCATTATTTCACGGTGAGAGGTTACTATTTTTGGAATAAGGCCATTTAAAAATTTTAAACTCTTGAAAACCACTCAAAATATCAAAAATCGCTCACACCTTTTTGTACATTATAGTCGCTTACACTCAATTGAAGAATCGTTGTCGGGTTCAGAAACATAGGACATAAAAGCTGAGACCGAAATGGCACATGTGAAATGACATAATTATATCATAAGTTATTCATTTGCGTCATGCATGCAGTCGGTTTAGAATGCAAACCGCGTATTAAAAACAGTGGATGATGCCACGGGTCGCCGGTCACAGTATGTTTCTGAACCCGACGTTTCTTCAATTGAGTGTATACACTTAGTGAAGTTCTTTTGGCTATACGCAATAACGCTACCATTAATTCATCTCTACGGAACGTGCCCGATTTGTGCTTAAGACTCGGCATTGTTTCAAATTAGAAAATCAATTTCAAATAATATTATATTCGAAATCTTTAACATATGACCTTTAAAACAATATATAGCTTTATTGGTTTTTTTTTGAATTGTTGCGTAGAGAAAGTTTAAAAGAAACATACCCCTGAAGTCATGATAGCTGGTATTTCATTGATTGTGAATCAGTTTTTAACAGGTTCACAGGGAAGGGACACATATTTGTCACGCCAACGCCAACTAAAACAAAAGATATTCGAGTTTGAAGTTTTTTAGTGGGCCTGCAAAAAACCGACAAGAAGCTTCACTTAATTGAATAAACTGGTGAAAAATTTTCAAAACATAGGTATGTTCGTATCCAACATTAGAATAAATCTGACAATCCGCATCTAGCATTTTTCTTTCAGACTTATTTCATTAATTCTTGGCGAATGTAGGAGAAGGGAGGAAGTCGGCAACATGACTTTGCCTCAAAGAATTACGGACCTGGCCACACACCTCCCCTCTTCCTTCATGGTGTGCAAATAATTAATCCTTTCCTGGTTCTCAAAAAACCGTTTTGAAATCCCTTCCCCACCCCAATCCAACCCGCTTATTCCACCCCTCTTATGTACATACTTTGCATCATTTTCGAAATATTTGTTTTTGGATAATTGCATAATATACAATACAATACATCATATATTTTTTTATTTGGCACTTTATACTGTAGAAAGTGAATAGGTTGTGATCCAATAAACTAATCCTAGCCTATATTGTCGCCTATATTCTTATGATCTTAGCGTCTCTTATAGGCATACATTGATTGATACATTGATTGACCAATAATTCCCGAGTTGCAGACTGGGCAAATCGCCCTTTCTTCCTTCGTAAATCAGGTAAAAGGCTTTCTATCAGCAGCAGTCAGCAGCGCTTTACAATCCAATCAAACTTAATTAATTTCAATACCAATCGCAAAAACCAAGCGCAAGTTGGGGCTACAAACACTAACGAAAGTTGGGGTTAGGAAACTAAGCGCAAGTTGGGGTTAACGAAAGATGGAGTTGGAAATCCTAGTGCAAACTCGGACTAGTTACCCTGACGGAGGTTAGGATCCTTAGCGAAAGTTGGGGCGAGAAAGCCTAACATAAGTTGGCTTTAGAAAAGTTAGCGCAAGCTAGGGCTAGAAACTGTAGCGCAAGTTGGGGTTAGAAACCCTAGCGCAATAGTTCGTTAGGATCAAGCCAATTTAGAAACAGATGGCCAGGCTACTTCACGGATTTTGCTCAAATTTGGTACATAAACTTGGTTTGGGGTCCTAAATAAGAAATGGATAATGTTTTGTCCAAAAATGTCTTTACAAACGGAAGGGGAAGGGAGGGGGGGGGGGATCTTTGGTTGCATGAAGGAGTACAAATTCACACATTTCAGTTTCATGTCAATGAGAGGCAAAATAAGTAAAAACGTCTCGTGTGCTTGATAAAATTAATCTACTCGGCTGCTTCATGTCCACCACGACAAAAGGCCAAGACCAGGTTCACTTATTGAAGCCTAAAAAAAAGTAAAGAGRTTAGGAATCAAACTTAAGAAGAAGGCTTGTAGTGTGTAACATAAAACTTGAAGTGATAATACTATGTTTTAAAGTTTCTTTTAGTGACCACGAATAAAAGTTCCAAGCCGAAATTGGAGTTGCCGCGCATGATAAAAAGTTCAGCCTCTACTTGGAACTGTTATTTGTCGTCGCCAAACGAAACTATAAAATGGAGTATCATTAAGTGTAAGTATGAAGAACGATGGAAGGTCACTATATCCCTATTTTCTATTATTGTAATATAAATATTGCTTAAAGTATAATTCCAGTGTTTCATGATTTTGAAATTACGCAACTGAAACCATTGTGCTTTTCTAAAGGAAAGATTAGCGGGACATTTCTAACCGTTATTGAATAAGGAGATTTCTTGATCTCTTGCTCTTCGACAGATAATTGATCTTTATTGTGTACTTCTGGTCCAGTAGGAGTGAGATCCACAAACGTTTCATCAACCACACGAAAACGAATTTCTTCATTGATATCCATGAACATGTCATGCGTGCCATCATCGGTTTGGTACTGCCACACCCACAATTGCTCATCTTCTTCGCTTGTGTGGGATTAAAGACAAATAATGTAACTAACATTTAATGGATTGCAGTAGATGTTTCGAGCTTTTCCACATCCAATATCCACCCGCGAAAAATTAATGATAGAATGAAACATTGCTTTGGCTTTTGATTCAATTGATTCTACACTCAATCGCACGAGTCATTGCCGAATCATTGTCGTGGGGTTTAAAAACATACAACATAGAACGTAAATTAATAAGATGTATCAAGAGAGACATATCTTGGATTGTCCGCAAAAAGACCCCTTTACCTTGGGCATAATATTTTCCCATTTGAGACCACATGTCACTCCCTAGAGTATCATTTCTTTGTTTAACGTTGCACGTGAAAAGACTCATGAATATGAATACTCAGACCAAGAATCTTTTTCTCCAGAGCATGGCAATTGGTCTGAAATGGGAAAACTTTACTTCCAAGGTAAAGATTTCATTCATTTGTCATTTCCCAGAATAACGTTTGATGTCAGCTTCCAGGATTTATGTTTTGATCCTGACAATAGTTTTACAATAGAGTGTATATTTTGTCTTTTATGATATAAACTAACATGTTTTTTATTCCTAAAAGGATACAACTTGGAGGGCTGCTGGATATATTCATGTGGAATAAATATGTCATCAAAAAACTCCATGGAAACTGATGAGAAAAATAAAAATTATTTGATGTACATACACATAATATGTGAGAATTACTAAGTATACACACATATAAATTTGATAGGGATAATTGAGATTAACTCAATAATAGTTCATAAGGAAAACACAATAGAAATCATGTCCATGATGTACATATATATATATTTGTAAAATTCATGAATAATTAATGAGGGCCTAAGCCAATCCAGCTTTAGAAATTAGGTCACATGAATATCATGTAAACCAGATACAAACCTTACAATGAAAATGCTAATTAGATATAACCACTGTTGGATGTATACTGTTCTGATACAGAACTAGTGGCTGTATCTAATCAGCATATGAATTCAAAATATCCCAAAGGAGTTATGAATTATTCATGGCATTTCACAAGTTGYGCCAAGTTGTATCAGCCATAAAATTATTTGCTTCTGGCTCGTGATTGTATAGTTGATACAACACAGCCACTCATATTGTAAACATTACATAAATGAGAGAATTGCATACTGTATATATTACTAATTAATTTGATAGGGATAAATGAGATCCAAAAATAATTCATAAGGAAAACACAATAGAAATCCTGTCCGTGAAGAGTTTTATAATTCTGATACAGAATCATGTTCATTTGCATAAATTTTAACCTGGATTTTCTTGGGCAGATTCACTTTTATCTTGAAAGTTTTAGTGAAACACAAAGGAGCAAACCAAGGCATTTGTTAAGCAATATACAATATTTGTGTCAGTGTTGTACATGATAAATAAACTCTTGGCTATGCCTAATATGAATTTTTGAGTACACTCAAAAATAAGTGTTAAATATATATTATATGTGGCACCATTTGACTAACTACCCCAACTTCAAACCATAACTGGAGTTGCAAGATGGGGCAGACTTTTGCCACTCTGGTAAAAAAGGTTTTTGATTGGATGATTTCCATGAGATTTCTGTTTTGGGTGATTTCTTTGTTTATCATGGATCGTGAATTCCAATTATTACTTTTAGACAAACATATTCTAAATGTACATAAATGAATGAATGAATGAATCGTTAATTAAAAAAACCTTAAACAATGCACCCTTTTATGAGCATTGATGGATTACACAAGTAGTTGCCAGTGATAGATTACTAGTGCAAATTTGCCAAAGTACCTTGTATGCCTTCATGGTTACAACTTCTTATTCTTCCCAGCAATATCTCATCGATAAAAGGACGGAATACAACAAATCTAAAAGTTACTAAAAGAAAAGAAATACAGAAATAAATTGAAGCACATTATTTTATTTTATTAAATTTATATCACATTTATTTTATTAAACTTATGCGACCACATCAGCAATGCGGCAATTTATGGTGTTTAAATAAAAGCCATTATTATCATTATTATTATTAAATATTTAGATTCTTTTTTTGGATTCAGTATTTTTTCTATTGGGTGGTGCAACATCCAGGATTTTTGTTTTAGGAGTGGTTGAACCCTGCGTTAACAAATTGACTCGAACACCAATAATGCAGTTGCCAGCTCATCTGCGGGTGTGCTCCCCTGCATCCCAGGGCCGTAACCAGAACTTTTACAGGGAGGGTGCACATCCAATAAAATCGAAAAAAAAAGGTCACCAAAAGAAAGCAGAACCAAAAAATAAAATAAWAATAATAAAAAAAGGTAACCAAAAGAAAGCAGAACCAAAAGAAAGCAGAACCAAAAAAAAGGAGATGGATGAGCAGACATTAAGCTTTTATGTGGGGGGGGGTTGGGTGCACATGCACACTGTGCTCCCCCCTAGTTACGGCCCTGCTCCCTCGCCTAGATTCACCCTGGTGTGAGAACCAATATGTTTTCTCAAATACGTTTTCTTTTTTCTTTAATATATTGAAGACATATTGGGTTTTATGTTATATATTAGATTATACACTCAGCAAGTGAATGTACATGTACCTTTGTTAACAAAATAAAAAAAGACAATGAAAATTTTGTTAGCAATTCTAATGCAGCTGGACTATATACCAAATACATAACCCAACCACAGCTTTTTTATCCATTCGAGTATTTACAAAACTGCATTGACTCAAGCTTTATTCTAAATATAACTACTGAGATAGAGGTAGATATAGCATCATTGCGCATTGGAAAGAAAAACACAACATATGAAAGTAGCAGTCTACAAAATAGACCATGCCTAGAAATTAATAATGTTCCACATGTGGGAAGTTTAGGCACTGCCCAAAAATGGATCTCTCATTGTTTTAGCCACAGGGAACCCAATTTAGACAAAACTGAAAGGTAAAATTAATTGACTTTTTTGATCAATATATCCTCCATAACAAAAATTAGTGAAAAAAGTAAATAAAAATACAAAAAGGCAATGACATTCGAGTTAAGGTACCCTGTGACTTGGTATGTCAACTCGGTTATCAAAAATATCTTGAATTGTTAGTATCAAATAATTGCTTGCTCGTCACTTACAAATTAGAAAATTTTGCTTGACCTTTTCTAATAATTGCTCTTTATTGTTACTCTAACCATCGTTTGTCAGTCATTTTGATGACAGAACTTTGAGTTAAATGTAAATACTGATGACCTATCCCATTTTTGACTGACTGTGTAAAAACTTGATAGTCTACCCATTAAATATTCCTCCGGCCCTCGCCCTTCTAATAAAATGAATGCTCTGTACAGTTGCTATATCCTATTRTAAAATAAATTAAATAGTATGCACGCTGTGATTGGTTGATAGCCATGTTTGCATGAGGATATGTAAACACAGTTGTGATGTCACAACTTTCGTGTTTTCCCGGTACAAGTTCAAAAATTAAAAATTTATAGTTTCTTTCGAGGAAAAAAACACCCCCAAAAATGTATTTTGAAGACGAAGTTCCAAATTTGATTGGCTAACGATCGAAGTTCGTGACGTATGGAGAATTTGTATTTTGATATGAGAATCAAATTCAAATAAAGATTTATTTTCTTGCAAGAGGTAATGTTTTCCCTTAGTATTTATTTTATAAAAAGCAATAGAAAACTTTTTTTCTCTGTGTTTACATAGCCTGATAGCAACACTCGGGGAGTTGGGAGAATTTTCAACAGTTATGCAAACCCTCGACTATGTCTCGGGTTTGCATAACTGTCTCGAATTCTCCCAACCTCCCCTCGTGTTGCTATCAGGCTATGTAAACACGGAAAAAGTTTTCTATTGCTTGAATTGACTACACTTGCATGGGCACCCCATATACCATATGGAAAAAGGGTGTGTTCCTTGAGATTCCTTAGTTCATCAGTTATAGAAAACAACGATGCTTTCATTAGAAATTTAATATGTGGATATAATCAAAGGCGCTTTACAGGCACTGAACCAGTCGTACCAGTCAACCCCTTGTAGTGGTTTCATCGCTAAGTATAATAATTGTTATTTTGGCATATTCAGAAGCTGCTCTAATGGGTTGAAGCTGAACCAGTCATACTGGGTTCGACTGTAATGGGTTAGTCAACCCCTTGTAGCGGATTCATCGCCAACTTTAATACGTGTACTTTTGGTTTATCCTGAAGCCTTTGTAATGGGTTAAACTGAACCAGTCGTTTGGTTCGGTAATAACCAGTTGTAATGGGTTTATTCAACCCGTTCTAGCGGCTTACTTTTTTTTTTGCCATTTTTGTGGCGCCAATTACTGTGTGGATACACCAGGCTGGATAACTTTGATCAACAAGTATCATTGACCAAACATATTGCAACATTTCGTTCAATATTTTTAATCAGCCAATCCAAAAGCCAACGACATAATAAGAGTGTGAGAACATAATAATCTTATTGGCTAACACAGTCTGTTATCAGTTCAATTTCTGTCTAGTTTACTGTTATCTGATTGCTCAGTTTTATTCAATTGGTCCCGGTTAGTGTGTCCACACAGTAATGGGCTTTGAATAACTGGGCATTTGGTGCTATTGCGTTTTTCTCCATCTTGTGTAGAGGAATCAGAAAAAAAGAAAACATTTTACCACTGGTCTAGCTATACGTCTGATGTATCACAGGTAATCCTGTAATGATAATGTTAAGGTATACATGAAGTAATGAAATACAAACCTGGAGTATGGGATGAGCCATCTCCTGGAACAATGTATGAATCACCTATGCTTAGAATGTCATACAGTACTATGCACAAACCAACATTATGTACAACCTAAAACAAGAAATAACAAACAAAATACATATTCTAATTTAGATAATTTTTACAAAATTTAACCTTTCTGCATTTTAGCTAGCATCACTGAAGTTCTGCAAT